TGCCATTACCTTCGCCTAGACGATCTCCTCATTCAACAAGGCTTTACTGAGCCACTCCTGGCGCAGGGATTGTTCTGGGAGCTGGGCTGCAAAGGAAGACAAGACCTGGACCCTCCTCTCCAGAACTCAGTCCAAAGGCTTGAAGAAACAAGCAAGAAATTTCAAGTTCATGTAGACAGTGCTGCAAGAAGGGTCAGTCCTGGACATGATGGGAGACACTGGAGGTCCCAAACCCAGTCTAGAGGGTTGAAGGACTTCCTGGAGTAGGTGACATCTGAGCTGGGACCTAAAGTAGGAGACAGTCTGCTGGGAGAGAGGAAAGGAGAAGGCATTCCTGGCTGAATGTTTTCCCTACACACGCCCTCGCAACTTTCTCTGAGTCCTAGACAGCTGGAGTGCCCAGGTATGGTCTCTTGCAGGAACATGAAGATCGTCCTAATCCTCCTCCTCCCTACTCTCAATACATGTCATTTTTATCTCTACTGAATACCCCGTCCTATGCTATGGTGGCTTCACTGCCTCATCTACTGGAAACTTGTGAAGAGAAGAGACGTGGTCTGAGTCATCTTTGAATCTCCTGAAGTATCCAGCACAGTGCTCAGTACATGGCTTAATGCTCTAAAAATATTTTTTTGATATGAAATCTCAGGCCCAAGGACCGCCATCATAGTTAATAAATTCTCAGGGGGCCATTGGTAAGGTTAAGGCATAGATATAAAAAGGGAAAGGAAAAAGTAGGCACAGGAAGAAAATTAAGGCTTAGAGAACAAGAGAAAGGGCTGGGAAGGGGTGGGGAGGAAGCAGAGATGAAGTGTATACACAGTGGGGATCCAATTACAAACGAAATCTAAGCAGAACTCTTTGCTCCATGAAACCCTGTCTTTGGATTCTTTTCCATCACGAGGACCCCCATTCTCAGTCTGCGTTAGTGGTCTCCCTTTGGAATCTGACTCATAGGTATATCTGATCAGATGCATGCAGGGCGCTGCATCTTCTGAGAAGCAAGGAGGAGCTGAGAGAAAGAAGGAAGGAAAAAGCCTACCAACAACTTTCCCACTTTACAGAGTGAGTCTAGACAGAACTCAAATTTTCTTCCCTTGAGAGTCAGAAGCAGGGACTGTGGGAAGTAGAAGCGTCACACTCCTGAATTGGGTACACAACTCTCAAGCTAAGTTCTCTAAGCACAGCGGAACTAATTTTGTTTTGCTACTGGATATATAAAGTATGGAAGAAAAAAGGTGGCATTGCACGTTTTTTAATTACCACCAAGTCTTTCAAACTCCACCTTTTCCAGGAAATGTTCCTTCATGCAGTGGGAGGTGGTTATTTCATCCTCTCTCTAATCCCTCACTCGCCTTCCCTCATGGCAACACTCAAGCCCGTTTGGAGCTGCATTTATCTCTTTATTTGTCAGCCTGACTTTGCCTCTCATATCACCTCTGGATCCTTAGCCGAATTCTTTGGCCAGGTATGTAGGATCAAAGAACTCTGAAAACGATGGAAGTCATGGGTAGCAATGATGCTCTCTGAGGGTGTCAGTGTTGCCAGTCCAAGATTGAAAATTCCTAGAAGAAAAAAACAAATCCTCTTTGAGGTTCTTCTATAGTAACTGCATAACATTATATATTGGTGGTTCCTGAATTTTCCTGAATTTTAATTAAAGGAGAAATTTTTTTTCCAGCAGTGATTATAAAATATACAAGAGGAGAAGAAATCCTTCTTGCTTAACATTCAGAGCAATCTGGATCCTGCCAGGAGTTGGTCCAACCACCAGAATCTTAAACAGTTACCCAAAAGGTGGATTTCATAAGCTTTTGTCGATTAAGGAACATCTTTTCCAAAGGGTAATTAGAAATAATGCGATAAGTTCCCTTCTCTTTCTCTAGTACATATTGCATATTAATTTTTACAAGCCCAGAAAAAAGTACATTTACCAAAGACTAGTAAAAATATTTTAGGTTAAAATATTAGTGGAGGAGGAAAGTAGACTGGGTGTAGAGACCAAAAATGAAAATCATATGAAGTTATTTTCTGAGCCCTGTTTGTGACAAGTCATTAAACATATTAGATGGTTGCCAAGCCCTGAGCGTGTGACTGCAATGTTCATGTCTTGTCATGTCCTCTCTGGGAAAACAATGTGTAGTGTGGAGATTACCTAGAGCTGAAAGATGTTGCCATGAGCTTACCTCACAGTCTATAGGCTACAAGTACCTTGCTCTAGAACCTTCTACTAGAGTTTTCACTGGACTTTGAATACCCTCTGATTATAAGTCTTATTACTGGGGGTGAAACTTCTTTGGCCAGAATAATAGTCTTGGTGTAAAGACATTTCTAACCATCATTTCACTGGCCGTATTTGGTAAATTTTAGGGCCTCGACACGTAGTAGCATTTGCAAATATTGCCAGATTCAATATACAACTAGGCAGCATTTTATTTTCAAAGATGACTTTTCCTCTACCTAAGATTTCAGTCCACATAAATATAACAACTATAGGGTCATTTAACAAGAGTTCATAGTTTGATCAACTGCCCTTTTCTTTTACCCTAACCATCACAGACAAGAAGTGAAAGGTATAAGTCTCTCTTATTTTTATTATTTTTGAGACAGAGTCTCACTCTGTTGCCAGGGTTAGAGTGCCATGGCATCAGCCTAGCTCATAGCAACTTTGAATTCCTGGGCTCAAGCGATCCTCCTGCCTCAGCCTCCTGAGTAGCTGGGACTACAGGCATGCGCCACTATGTGTGGCTAATTTCTCTACTTTTAGTAGAAACAGGGTCTCGCTCTTGCTCAGGTTGGTCTTGAACTCCTGACCTGAAATGATCCTCCTGCCTTGGCCTCCCAGAGTGCTAGGATTACAGGCGTGGGCCACCACACCTGGCCTCTCTTATTTTTAAAGATGTTGAAAGTGAGGCCCAGAAAGGACAAGTCATAAGGATTTTCGCAGGAGGACCAAGACTCAAATTTAGGAAGACCCAAAGGCTGGAACCCAGAAATCCCTGATCTCTCTTCTTACATCGCAGTCATGCTGCAATTTGCTTCATGCTCGTCCCAACCTGGGGTTGTCTGTGCTCCCTTCGACTTAAAGGATCTCTATGTCACATGCTACAAGACACTGAGACATTAACAGGCAATTGGATGGCTCCATGCTTATCCAGTCAGTCATAATCCAAGAAATATTTCTTTAGGAAAAAGGATATTAACTGGGGGTAATGAAGAGGCACCGAAATAAAAGAGAGGGAGGGGGAAGTTGCCTTGGGAAAAAAAGGATGGTAACTAAGTGCTACTGGGATAGGAAATGTAATTAAATTAGGGGAATGTGGTGGCAGGGCTGGGATAACTATAATTACTAAGAAAACACAATTGAGGGCAGGTCATGCAGAAAACGTTTATTTAAACATTTTAATAAAATTTACAAATTTTATTTGGGATAGCCCTAGGTAACTAAGGCTAAGACTGGGAATCCATTTATCTGGTGGAAAAATGACCAAACCAGATAACAAAAAAGCAGTCTTTTTGGTTGACCAACATAACCACTATGGAGTTTGCACAAAACAGAACCATCTGTTGTGTGAGGAATCATGGAGAGAGATTCTGTATTTATAGAATCCTGAGTGGGAAAACCAGGCGCATTAATTAACATTACCCCCTTCTCTAATTAGAAATCCACTTTTCTTCTAGTTTCTCTGCTGTCAACATGTACTGTGTTTAAAAAAAAAAAAAAAGTCAATTTAAAAGCAGACAGACTTGCTGTGACTAATTTAAGAACTCTCAAAGCAGGCTCTTTTCCAAAAATACATTGTAATTGACAACACTATAAGCTCAGTCTAAAGGGGATATGACACAACTACTGACCCTGAGGCTGAATCAGATATTTACTGCTAGTTTGGGCACAGCAGGGTAGTCTATAGGAGATCTCCACAACTCTTAACTGCTTTTGGTATGGGGTTTTGCAATTAAACTTTTCTTTAAACAAACGTTTTCAGTGGGTGTATCTTAGACAGCCTACTTTAACAACTCTTATTTTTTCCTCTTAGTTTCTAAGATGCAAGTTGTTGCAAGCAAAATTTTATATTAGGGACCAAGATTGCTAGTGCTTTTCAGATACTGCATGTTCCTTTTAAGACACATATTTCTTAATAAAAATACATTTACATACTTTGGTACAATTATTCTTGAAAAGCTAACATCTTTTGGTAGAGGTGCTTTTACAGGAATAGCTACCTGTGTATTATAATTTCTCTGTATTAGGCCAGGCGTGGTGGTTCATGCCTGTAATCCTAGCACCCTGGGAGGCCGAGGTGGGCGGATTGCTCAAGGTCAGGAGTTCGAGACCAGCCTGAGCAAGGCTGATGCCATGGCACTCTAGCTCAGGCAACAGAGTGAGACTCTATCTCAAAAAAAAAAAAATATATATATATATATATTTATATATATATAATTTCTCTGTATTATGGAGGAGGTTGGAAATCAAAAGAAGTGATAATTTTCTTCCAAATACCTACAAAGAGATGATACGATCACATTTCACTCAGTGAATTCAATTAATTTTACCATAAATTCAATTGTAAGGGTGGAGGAGGGGCAAGCAAAAATAAATGACATCACCATTTACTGGGTATCTACAACGTGCCAGGTAACGCACTAAGCACATTATGTCCTTTATTTCATTTAATCCTCTCAGCAACGCTGCATATTACCGTCTTCATTTTACGTGTGCAAACTGAGGTTCAGAGAGGTTAAGTGATTCACGGCAGGTCCTACAGCTAGTAAACGGCCAGGAATATCCAGTAACTCAGATACTGACCTATCTTTGGTTCCTGTTAAATAGAATAAGTAATCTATTTCTTGGAGGTTTTGTTTGGCAGTCTCGGCTTACTCACTTAATTGTTTGAATGGGAAAACTATGTAGTGAGAAGTAACTTGCCATGAATGGGCTTCATGAGAACAAAGACCTGCCTGGTAATGCAAGAGAGATGACAGGGGAACCCTTGCCCTCTACACTGTGCTTCATGGATATAATATAAACCCAGCATTTTAACTCAGCTTAAGTGAGGCTATGGGAAACTGATATCTAGTGGACACAGTTATTTAGCATTGAGGCAGCACTCCATATTCGTGGATTATTATCGTATCTAAAATGTAACCCTGCTTTACACTCAACTGGCTATGTGAATGCGTTTGTCCATCCAGGGAAGTGGTTTCCCCGATGCATAGAGCACATGCCTGTCATGAAAGAGACTTGCATTCCTGGCCTCAGCTTTTCCATAATCCCTTCTGCTGCTGAATTGTTCAAGCAGCTTCCTGCACCAAGTGTGACCCGGTTCCTTAAGAATTACATTTAGTGAGAGCCTCCGAGCTAGAAACTCTGCTAAGGTGACGTATGCACCTTATCTCCTTTCATCATTGCGACGACTCCGAGAGCCTGGGTTCTCCAGCTCCACTTTATAGATGACGAAACTGTTTCGGAGAGGTTATAAAGTTGCTTAAGGTCGCTGAGGGGTAGAGCCACAAAGGGAGCCCGGGTCTCTGCCTCCAAGGCCACAGCAAACTTTCCCCGCCACGCCAGCGTTTCCAGCGGCGAGCGGCCTCGGGCTGGAGAGCCAGGGTGCTGATTGACTGTTTATCAAGTGTTGGTCGCGTCCCGGGAGGTGGCACTTCGATGAGAAAGCTGTGGCGGCGCCAGCTTCTCGGTCCACTCCGCGAGGGGTAAGGAAGGCGAGCGGCGGAGCGGGGACGCCAGAAGCGGTCCCCCACCCCCACCCCCGCAGGCTGCTCCGGGAGCGCCGCCTCTGCCCTCGGCCCGCGCGGAGGGGCCCAGGACCGGGGACACCCTGGGGAGTCCGAGGTCCCGACACAGGTGGCAGCTTTGGCGCTGCGGGTTCCGGCCGGGCGCCTCAGGGCACTAGAAGCAACCGGTCCGAGCGCGGCGGAGAGCGGCAAGCAGACAGCTCCAGGAAGCGCCCTCGCCCCCTCCAAAACCGGGTTCGGGCGCAGCTAGGCGCCGCAGCGCCCCCTCGAGGTCGCGGCCCCGCCCCCGGAAGTGACGCGCGGCGGCTACGGCGCCTGGGAGGGGTCCAGGCGCAGGCCAGGGGTTCGACGAGTGCGGCGCGCGCCGAGCAATCTGGCCCAGCGCCGGCGCGGCGAGGAACGCCCCGAGCGCGCGCCCGCCGGGTAGCGGCCGACGACCCGCGCCGCCGCCGCCCGCGCCGCGTGCGGGGGCGGGGGCGGGGCGCGAGGAGCCGCGCGGCCGTGAGCGGCGGGAGATGCGGCGGCGGCGGGCACCGCGGGTCGGCCTCGCTGCGCTTCTCCGGCTCGGCCGCGGGGTCGCAGCGGCGGCCGCGCCGTCCTCGAGTTTCCAGCGTGAGCGGAGGAGTCCGGCGGCGAAGGCGCGTCGTGTTCGAGGCGGAGACCGAGAGGCGCACCGCGGCGCGCCTCGGTGAGCGGCCACGCGGCGCCGCCTCGGCGATTCGCGGCCGCCGCCCCGCGGCGGGGGCGGGCGCGGGGCGGAGGGCGCGCGGCACGACCGGAAGTGGGCGCGGGGGCGCGGGGCTGCGGCGCGCTCCCTGACCGGCGCGCCGCCGCGGCGCCGCGTGGCGGAACCAGCGCCGCGGCTTTCTCGGCCGGTCCGCGTTTGTGCGCGAGGTCCCTTGGGCAAAGGTGGCAGCGGTTATTTTTTGTTTTTTTTTTTTTAGTGGGTGGGGAGGAGGGGAGCAATTCCGACTTTCTATTGTGACAGGAAATTGGAAAATGAAAGTACAGTAATTCCGTGCCTACAAAGGCTGGGCGAGGTCGCGCCTCTCTCCCGGGACTTTGATCTTCGGGCTGCGCGGCCGTCCGCGGTTCTTCCTCTCCGCGCGCTCGCTCTCCATCCGGTGTCAACTTTCGTTTCTGCGGCTCGCCGGCGGCCCCTCCCGCTGTGCCTTCCGCTTCGCGTGCGGCTGCGGCGAGCCGGGCTGCTTCGCTGCTGGGGAGGCGAACCGAAAGCGGCTTCTGAGGCGGGATATTATTGACTGTCCTCGGGAGGAAACGAGAGATTCTGTTGACCGGAGTAGTCAGAAGATGTGCAGTTGGCTTTCCCCCAAGCGATTGCTGTTTGAAGTTCAGAGCATTTAGCTAAAAGATTCTGGAGTTTTATTCCTCCTCACAACGGTTTGCCCATCTCTTTGGTTGGCGGATCAGATCCTCCCTCCTCTTTCCGTGCCTCTCACCTCCACGCCCTGCATGGAAAACTTGGTGCTTCGGTGTTTAGGGCTGGCAGGGGTGTTTTCCTTGAAATATAGTATGATTCAGTACTTCCCCCCTCAGGAACTCTGTTTGATTTTATTTAAACCTTAAAACTGCATGAGTGGACTCTGTTACATTCTTAAGGAAATATTGTCTTTAAGTTTTATTTATTGTAATGTAACAGTGTACTTTTAATACTCTCTTTGTTTAGTATTCTGCCCTGGTTGATATATCTAGTTAGTTTTTGGCTACAGCGATTATTTTTGATTCAGAACTAGGCTTGATATATTTCATAACTTGGTTTTGTTTTGTTGAAGCAGCACGTCGAACAATTTGGAGACTTGTTTATTTTTTTGGGTCTTAGCTACTGTCTTTGAAAAATAGTTGGGCTATGGGTCACCACAGCGACTGGACTATGTGTATCACAAACATGTTTAGGGTGGAAAAGGTTTCATTTAATAAAGACTTCCTTTTGTTAACAAGTTATTTCAACATGCACCCTCTTTCAATTTAGCACAAGGGATTGTTCTACCATCTTTGAAGTGTTAAGATGGAATCAGTTATGTTTTCAGAATTTAACCTCTCAACAGATTTCCTTCATTTGGAAGTAATGAAGCCACTGCACCTGGCTTCACCTATGTAATTTTTAATAACTGTCTTCTGGAATTTTTTTTCTTTCTTCTTTTGGCTCTGTCATCCAGACTGGAGTGCAGTGGCACAATCATAGCTCACTGCAGCCTCGAGCTCCTGGGCTCTAATGATCCTCCTGCCTCAGCCTCCCAAGTACCTGGGATTACAGGCACAAGCCATAATTTTTTCTTTAGCTTGGAATTTTTGTCCTTAGTTTGCTTTTATGTCTGAGGAAATCATTGAAGTTCATAGCTAATACCACACTTTTAGGAACTAAAATGAAAAGTTTCAACTATATACCAAGAAGTTCACCAACTTTTCAGTCAAAAGAATAATCTGATATCAAAATTGAATTAAGGAAATATTCCTTTAAAGTACCCACTGAAGATGTCCATTTTATATCTTTGTTAGTTTTTCTCAAAACAATTCATTTCCAGTACTTCAGTCCAAAACCTCAGTGCTCTTTTTCTTTTACTCTCAGCAGCCTTCTATTCTAGATACCCTATAGTCTGCTGAAGAAACATCAGCATTCTCTACAGGGTTAGGTTCTACCCTGAGGTGTCCCAACAGCTCACCAGCCATTGACTCAATACGATCTACCCCACTGATAACCACAGGGGAAAGTGGAAATTAAACCTGTACTACCTTGGGAACACCCATGTTTTTGGGAATCTCACTGGTTGCCATAGTGGGGACATTACTTTGTTATTTTTTTTGTTTTTCAGATGTATAGCTCAGGTGTCGTAAAGTTGTAGGGCTCAATCATTATCTACATGGTAGGTAGGTACTAAGACTCCAGGATTTGGGTTTTGAATTTTTTTCAAAAACAATGGAATTATAGGCACCACATTTGTAGTAGGCTAGTGATATTCCAGTTCTCTGCCTGTCTTTCCTTCCTTTCTTGTATCATCATCTCTTACACATGCATTTTCACAGCCCTACCCTGTAAGCATTCTTGATATGAAGGCAATGTCTGGAAATGTGGAAATTCAGTTCTTTGGTTAAACTAATATTTACTAGGGAGTAGTTTTAACAGACTTAGACTAGCAGTTAATTGTTTGAATGGGTAAACTATGTAGTGAAAAAGGAATTTGCCATGAATGGGCTTCATTAGAAGAAAGATCTGTCTGGTAATGTCAGAGAGATGACAGGGGAACCCTTGCCCCCTCCACTGTGCTTAATGGATATAATATAAACTCACCATTTTAACTCAGCTTAAATGAGGCTATGGGAAACTGATATCTAGTGGACATAGTTATTTAGCATTAAGGCAGCACTTCATATTCGTGGATTATTATTGTATCTAAAATGTAACACTTTCTTTTTTTTTGAGACAGAGTCTCACTTTGTTGCCCAGGCTAGAGTGAGTGCTGTGGTGTCAGTCTAGCTTACAGCAACCTCAAACTCCTGGGCTCAAGTGATCCTGCTGCCTCAGCCTCCCGAGTAGCTGGGACTACAGGCATGCACCACCATGCCCGGCTAGTTTTTTCTATATATATCAGTTGGCCAATTAATTTCTTTCTATTTATGGTAGAGACGGGGGTCTCGCTCTTGCTCAGGCTGGTTTTGAACTCCTGACCTTGAGCAATCCGCCTGCCTCGGCCTCCCAGAGTGCTAGGATTACAGGCGTGAGCCACCGCACCCGGCCTAAAATGTAGCACTTCTTTACACTCAACTGGCTCTGTGAATGCGTTTATCCATCCAGGGAAGTGGTTTCCCCAGTGCATAGAGTACATGCCTGTCATGAAAGAGACTTGGATTCATGGCCTCAGCCTTTCCATGAGCTCTGTGCCTGTGAGAGGCATCTCCCCCTTTCTGTTCTTTATTATTTTAACGTTTCTACTTTTGGATGACTATCTCTGTACAACCAGCTTCAAAGTGATAACTGTGAGGATTACTGAAGACATTAATCTAAGAGACGTTATCTGGAGACATTATCTAAGACATTTGAATGTCTTAGAAAAGTTAGAGAAACCTAGATATTTTCGACTCTCATTCCCTATCTCTACCCTTTTCCCCTTTTCGGAAGTGCACGTAGTTGACCCTTAAGGATCCCATCCTCTTTGAGTTATGTGTTGTTAGAATTAGTCTTCTCAGGCCTAACTTTTGTAATGTTTGTTGTGTTAGGTTTGCTTGTTTTGAACATCTTTATTGAGATATAATTCACATACCTAAAATTCACCTAGAGTGTACAATTCAGTGGTTTTTAGTATGTTGACAGACTTGTATAATCATCACCACAGTCTAAGTTTAGAATATTTTTATCACCTTCCTAAAAAAACCTGGATCTATTAGCTATCACTCGCCATTTTTTTCCTCTACTCACTTTAGCCCCCAAATCCTAAGTAGACATGGATGTATTTTATGTATCTGTAGATTTGCCTAAATTTCATGTAAGTGGAATCATATAATATGTGGTCTTTTGTGGCTGGCTTGTTTCAGTTGCATGTTTTCAAGGTTCATCCATGTTGTGTTTGCATTTCATTCCTTTTTATGGCTGAATGATATTCCCTTGTATGGATGTACTACATTTTATTTATCCATTCATCAGTTGGTGGACATTTAGGTTGTTTCTACTTTTTAGATATTATGAATAATACTGCTATGAACATTCCAGTATAAGTTTTTATATGGACATATATTTTTATTGTTCTTGGGTATATACCTAGGGGTGGAATTGCTGGGTCTATGATAAACTTGTCCAAAGTGGCTGTATCATTTTGCATTCCCACCAGCAATGTATGAGGGTTTCAGTTTCTCCATATCCTTGCCAACATTTGTTATTATCTGTCTTTTTGATTATAGCCATCTTAGTAGGTATGAAGTGGTTTCTTATGTGGTTTTGATTTTCATTTCTCTAATAACTAAGGATGTTGAGCATCTTTTCATCTGTTTATTGGCTATTTGTCTATCTTCTTTGCAGAAATGTCTTTTCAAATCCTTTGCCTATTTAATTATTTTTTCTTTTAGTTGTAAGAGTTCTTTATATATTAATATTTTGGATACACGTTACTTTTGTGATACATAGTTTGAAAATATTCTCCCATTTTGGGGATTGTTATCTCACTTAATGACATTGTTTGTAGCACAGCGGTTTTAAATTTTGATGTAGTACAGTTACCTGTTTTTGTAGTTTTAATGGAATTAATTTGATTTGTCTTCAAAATCTGTTTTGACCCATTGAGATCTCATTCCTAGAGAAAGGAAGGGTTTTTGTTTTTCTGTGTGAAGATGTTCAGTCATAGGCTTCTTAGGATAAGCTTATGTGTATTTGGTCAGAGTTTCTTCCCTTAAGAATTCTTCCTAATAGACAAGATATTTTAAAATTCTATGAAGAAAATACCTTTGTTAGAGCATTTCCTTGCTGCTCGATTGCCAAAACCAATGATTACCAACCAGGATGACTTGGACTCCTGGAGGAATGATCATCTCAGTGGGGCAGGGATGCTGTTAAGCAAACTGTACTGCACAGGACAGCTTCCATAACAGAGTTAACTGGCCCCAAATACCAAAATTGAGAAACTCTGGCTTAAACTCCTAAAACTTCATATATTGAAAAATTTTCCTTTAATCCATGTCTTGGTAATCAAATAAAGGTTGCTAATCAGATAAAAGGAGAATCTATACAGATGGAATCCCTATAGACGGAACAGTGATAGAACTTGTAAGCTAAATGAGGGAGCATTTTGCTGAATCCTCAGTGTTGCCAATTTGTATATCAATTATATTTATGATAATGGAAAGTATTTGAAGGTGAAATACCAGTTGGAGCAAAAGTGTATTATTCCTTACATCTCAGCCTCCGGGCCACCCTAACACACACACACACACACTGATACACATACACCCTGGCAAATAAAGAAACTGGGTTGATTTAGATAGATTCTGAAATGGTATTCTTCTGAGAATTTAAGATAAAATTTAATAACAGTGATACTCTAGTGATTGACAATCATCAACCTGTTCCTGTAATTTATGGAACTAGGTTTATCCTCCTTGCAAGTTACTTGTTGCTTAAGACTTAGGCAGCGCGGTATGCTTAAGAGTTTGGACTCTGGATCCAGATTGCCTGGGCTTAAATCTCAGTTCTACCATTTACTTGTGTGACCTTGGACAAGTTACTTAACCCTGTTATGAATCACCTTTTTCTTATGTAAAATGAGGATGCAATAGTATCTATCTTGTATCTACCTTGTAGTGTTGTGGGGTGAAATGAATCAATACACATAGAGCATTTAAAATAGTGCCTGACATTCAGTGTTAAATAAATATTGGCTGTTACTGTTATCACATATCTTATCTATATTCTTTCAGGTCATTGCTATGGACAGTGCTATCACCCTGTGGCAATTCCTCCTTCAGCTCCTGCAGGAGCCTCAGAACAAGCACATGATCTGCTGGACCTCTAATGATGGAGAGTTCAAGCTTTTGCAGGCAGAAGAGGTGGCTCGTCTCTGGGGGATTCGCAAGAACAAGCCTAACATGAATTACGACAAACTCAGCCGAGCCCTCAGATACTATTATGTGAAGGTAATACACTTCCTGGTCTTGATACTATGAGATAACCTCAAGACAAGAATTATTCCTTCTTTTCTGTTGAGGTTATAAGTGCAAATGTCCTGGTTTATTTTAATCCAATTTATTTTATAGCATCAGCAGTTTGGAATTAGAATACAAGGTGTAAATGTTCCAGCTGTATTTCTACAAACTCTTATTCGTTAAGCCTAGTCCCACTACATGTATTTTATTCCTGATTGCATTTGTATTTAAAAGAGTACGTACAGGATTGGAATATGAAAAAGGAAATTTGAAATTCTTTTTTTGTTTATGAGAGACAGGATCTTGCTACATTGCCCAGACTGGACTCAAACTCCTCCTGCTTCAGCATCCCAAGTAGCTGGTACTACAGGCATGCACCACCACACCTGGCTTGTCTCCTTCACTCACTCACACACACACACTTGTTTTTGTAGCTTAATTTTAACCCAGGGAACAAAAATGAACACCTTAAAGAATAGCTGCTAATACATAAAGTTGATTTCTTAGTTAAAATTATATTATTTTGTTTAATATCTTAATTTTTTTTTTTTTTTTTGAGACAGAGTCTCACTCTGTTGCCCTGAGTGCCATGGCGTCAGCCTAGCTCATAGCAACCTCAAACTCCTGGGCTTAAGCCATCCTGCTGCCTCAGCCTCCCAGGTAGCTAGGACTACATGCATGTGCCACCATGCCCGGCTAAGTTTTTCTATATGTATTAGTTGGCCAATTAATTTCTTTCTATTTATAGTAGAGATGGGGTCTCGCTCTAGCTCAGGCTGGTTTCGAACTCCTGACCTCGAGCAGAGCAATCCGCCCGCCTCGGCCTCCCAGAGTGCTAGGATTACAGGCGTGAGCCACCGCGCCCAGCCTCTTATTATTTTGAATACATTCTTGGAGCACTGAACTAAAATAAATGGCTCCAAAGGGTAGAATTAGAATGAGAGTTCCTAATTCCTTTCACCTTTAAGTGGTTGATCTTACAAGCTTTCCTGTATAGAGATACGAGATAAGAGATAAGAGACAACTTTCTTTCTGAAGGAATAAGAACCTTAGCAGATGTAATATTCTAAATTCCTTTTTGCTTACTCAGGATGTGTATGGCTTATACCTTTGGAATTGAGATTGCAGTTCATTAAGTCTGACTTACACAGATACTGGGTTGAGAGTGTTAAGCAATTAAAATCTTTCAGCTTTGGCCAGGCACAGTGGCTCATGCCTGTAATCCTAGCACTCTGGGAGGCCGAGGTGGGTGGATTGCTCAAGGTCAGGAGTTCAAAACCAGCCTGAGCGAGACCCCGTCTCTACCATAAAAATAGAAAGAAATTAATTGGCCAACTAATACATATAATATAAAAATCAGCCGGGCATGGTGGCTCGTGCCTGTAGTCCCAGCTACTCGGGAGGCTGGGGCAGGAGGATCGCTTGAGCCCAGGAGTTTGAGGTTGCTGTGAGCTAGGCTGACACCACGGCACTCACTCTAGCCTAGGCAGGAAAGCGAGACTCTGTCTCAAAAAAAGAAAAAAAAATCTTTCAGCTTTTAACCACATGTACTCACCCTCCAGCAAATTGGTATTAGCTAATCAACACCTAAGTGGACATATAGGAATAACATTTATTGGGCGTTGGGCAGATGGGAGGGGGGAGGAAGGGATGCATACCATCTGGGGGATGGACATGCTTGAAGCTCTGACTCCGGGAAGGAAGGGGGGGGAAAGGCAACACACGTAACCTAAACATTTGTACCCCTATAATATGCTGAAATAAAAATTAAAAAAATCTTTCAGCTTTTATGTAACATATTAGTTCAGTTGTTACTAAGACATTTAAGTGTTCTTGCCTTAACTTCCCCTGAATAGTAGGCACTGTGTTTGGTATGGCTAGATGGATTTAGAGGAGGGATCCCTAACCTATGGTGAGTTATATAATTATTTCATTATATATTACAGTGTAATAATAACAGAAATAAAGTGCACAATAAATACAATGTGCTTGAATCATCCCAAAAGCATCTCCCGTCTCCCAGGTCTGTGGAAAAGTTGTCTTCCATGAAAACGATCCCTGGTGCCAAAAAGGTTAGGGACTGCTGATTTAGAGAATTTTGAAGATTTTAAATAAGCTATGCCTACTTCTTAAATAGAGAACCTTGTTATGTCAGCTTTTTTTATGAACTATGGGTTGCAAGTTTATAAGAAAGTATAAGAATGGTTATTTTATTTACCTACAGAATATCATCAAAAAAGTGAATGGTCAGAAGTTTGTGTACAAGTTTGTTTCTTACCCAGAGATTTTGAACATGGATCCAATGACAGTGGGCCGGATTGAGGGGGACTGTGAAACTTTAAACTCCAGCGAAGTCAGCAGCAGTTCCAAAGATGTGGAGAATGGAGGGAAAGAGAAACCACCTCAGCCTGGTGCCAAGACCTCCAGCCGCAATGACTATATACACTCTGGCTTGTATTCTTCGTTTACTCTCAACTCCTTGAACTCCTCCAAGGCGAAGCTTTCCAAACCAATAAAGATTGAGAATCCAGCTGAGAAACTGGCAGAGAAGAAATCTCAGGAACCGACATCATCTGTCATCAAATTTGTAACAACACCCTGCAAAAAGCCACAAGTTGAACCTCTTGCTGCCGCCATTTCAACTGGCCCAAGTATCTCTCCATCTTCAGAAGAAACTATCCAAGCGTTGGAGACGTTGGTGTCCCCAAAACCACCTTCCTTGGAGGCCCCAGCCTCTGCGTCCAGCATACCTGCCGCCTTCTCTGCTGCACCTCCCGTTTCGCCCATACCTGCTGCTCTGCAGGAGCCTCCTCGGACACCTTCGCCACCACTGAGTTCTAACCCGGACGTCGACACAGACATCGACTCCGTGGCTTCTCAGCCAATGGAACTCCCAGAGAACTTGCCACTGGAGCCTAAAGACCAGGATTCAGCTTTGCCAGAGAAGGACAAAACGAGTAATTCATCAAGATCCAAGAAACCCAAGGGGTTAGAACTGGCACCCACCCTTGTGATCACAGGCAGTGATCCAAGCCCCCTGGGAATACTGAGCCCGTCCCTCCCCACAGCTTCTCTCACACCAGCGTATTTCTCACAGGTAGCTCACTCTTTCTTTTTGGGGCCACCATTGTTTGCATTTATTCACCTTTTTAAACAAATCCAGAATTTATATTCCTAAGTTTGCTTTCTGTTACTTAGGTTTGTCTTAGAAAGGTTATATGACCCTGTGAAAGTAACCTAATTCCTCATCTCAGTTATGATTGCCAAAATAAAAGGTTTGGGGTCTTGTCTTAAAAAATCCATTGTTCTCCAAGTAAATAAATATTTTGGTTTTTCCACTTCCTTTTCTTTCTCTCTCTTGGTCATATAAAGTTGGTTGGTATCTTATAGGAAAACAGTGATAATATCGAGTCAGAAAACAGTAGGGCTTGAGAACCTTAAGAAAAATGACTGGTGTGATGTTGAGTAATAAGTTTGTACAGTTACATTGGGTATTTATTAACTTGCTCATCTCACAGAACATTTTAATAGACTGTTCCCAGACCCTTTCATTATTAAGGACAGAACATGTTGCTGACTTGGTTACCCATTATTCCTTTGTACCTGAATTCTGGTTGGTTTTTTTATTTGGGAAAGACTCTATAAAAGCTGAGTTAAAAAAAAATAGTTATTTTGACCTTTATCTTTCTTAGGCTGTGAAAATAATTTGTGTTTCATCATGATAAAATTTCAGACTTGGAGATATTTGTTAGTGGAGAATAGGGCAGTATCTGGGTTTGTGGTTATTTGTATGTGATTGCAAGGATAAAGCATAATCCTAGTAAGTCATTTAGTGAATATTTCTGTCTTGTGTGTTGCAGACACCCATCATACTGACTCCAAGCCCCTTGCTCTCCAGTATCCACTTTTGGAGTACTCTCAGCCCTGTTGCTCCCCTGAGTCCAGCCAGACTGCAAGGTGCTAACACACTCTTCCAGGTAAATTTCGTAAAAGTCTGTCTCTTGTATTTGGAGCAAGTTAAATGAAGAAATAGGCAAAAAGGCAGTGTCCCACTGCTCAGTTGATTCATTATGAAGCTTTAATAAATACTCTTAAGGTTTATTGGTAAATTTCCAAATGTTAATTTTCTTACCAGCAAACAGCTTAGATAAATATTCACAGCAAAATTTCCTTTTCATCGTTTACTATGATGTACATTTGAGTTAGACCAAGAATTATTCAACACTCTAGTAGATTTAGAGTTTACCCAAAGTTTTTTGTCATTTTAAATGCTAGAAATCCTCTATTAAAAAAAATGTATACACACACACACCCACATACACATACAGGGGACCTCTGCACATAGATTTCCTCTTTTAATTAAGGATTTGTTTCTAAAAAATAGAGAAAGGTCTTGAGAATGGTGTATCAAATATTCCTATTTCCCTTCACTCAGAATTGATATTTATAAACATTTTAAATATATATTTTTAAAAATGAATGTTATCTCTTTACCAAGATGTTAGGAAAGGTCTTGTCCTTCCTAATGGGTTTAACCATTATTTTGCCCAAAACATCTAGACTTTATAATTTTATTGTGGTCAGTTCATTTACTCATTCAAGGGTGCTTATTCCTGAAAGATTTTCTTACATTTGTAATTCAACTTTTCATTTGTCCTTTCAGAAATAAAATGGTAAGGAAAAAGAAGAAAATTAAAAATCTTTCACATTCAGCTTTTATTTTTCTTGCAGAAATCCCTAAATTATTAGAGTGTTGAGAATTTTCTGTATTTCTTTTTTGTATTTCTTTGCCTCTCATCAGCAGGTATTTGAGTTTTAGAGTGATCTGAGATCTTAAGCAAAAGCATAGTGCTCCTATAGCTTCAGCCTGGAATCTTCCTATAGAGTTGGCTTCAGACTTCTTGGTGGGGAACCCTCTTCTAGCATGAGCACCTTGTAGCTATTTGTACCTTTCTGGACCTCTTTTTGAGGGTTCATGATTTACTTTATAATTGAATTACAGTCTACAGTGCATATTATCATTGACTGAACTATCTAAAACCTTCATTCGAGGTTAACTGGAAACCTGTGTATGTAGGATATGAGGGAAGGTATAGGTTTGTTCTTTGTTTCCATTCCATCGAGATAGGTTGGAGAGTGTTAATATTTAATATGTTAGGACAAACTTAAAACATTTTTTTTTTTTTTTTGAGACAGAGTCTCACTCTGTTGCCCAGGCTAGAGAGGCATGGTGTCAGCCTAGCTCACAGCAACCTCAAACTCCTGGGCTTGAGCAGTCCTTCTGCCTCAGCCTCCCTAGTAGCTGGGACTACAGGCATGTACCACCATGCCCAGCTCCTGGGCTCAAGCGATCCTTCTGCCTCGGACTCCCGAGTAGCTGGGACTACAGGCACCACGCCTGGCGGGGTCTCACTCTTGCTCAGGATGGTTTTGAACTCCTGAGCTCAAATGATCCTCCTGCCTCAGTCTCCCAGAGTGCTAGGATTACAGGCGTGAGCCACCCCGCCCAGCCTAAAATTCTTATTTATTTATTTGTTTATTTGGAGATGATCTCACTTTGTCACTCAGGCTGGAGTGTGATGACATGATCATAGCTCATAGCAACCTTAAGCTCTTGGGCTCAAGTGATCCTCCTGTCCCAGCCTCCTAAGTAGCTGGGACTATAGGCACCTGCCACACAACTGGCTCATTTTTTTATTTTTTGTAGAGACTGGTCTCACTGTGTTGCCCAGGCTGGTCTTGAACTCCTAGCCTCAAGCAGTCCTTTTACCTTGGCCTCCCAAAGTGCTGGGATTATAGACAGGCATGAGCCACCGCACCCCACCAAACTTGTTTTAAAAAAGGTTTTTGTTATGACATCATATTCTTTCATGATAAACAGTTACTGCCTTTGTCCTGTGAGCCACTGCAGAAGGCTGTTGTGTTTTGCCTCAGGGAATATAGTAGGGACAGAAAGTGAAAGTTAGGGTTGAGTAACAGCATGATAATGTGTTTTATTTTCTTTCTCAGTTTCCTTCTGTACTGAACAGTCATGGGCCATTCACTCTGTCTGGCTTGGATGGACCTTCCACCCCTGGCCCATTTTCCCCAGACCTACAGAAGACATAACCTATGCACTTGTGGGATGAGAAAACTGAGGAACAAAGGAACAGAGAGACATTCAACATGATTGCATTTGAAGTGAGCAATCGAAAGTTCTACAATGCTGATAATAGACTATTGTGATTTTTGCCATTCCCCTAGAAACGCCTTTTTAGGATTCCCTTTGAATAGGACTCAAGTTGGACTGTGTATAAAAATGCCTTAATTGGAGTGCAAACTCCACCTCCCTCTCTTTTTCTTTCTTTTCTTTTCTTTTTTTTCCCAGCTTAATATTTTGAGCTTTGTGCTAAAGAAATTTTTGGTGGCATTTAGCAGCTATACTTTACAAGAGCAATTAAGAACAAAGTTATTCCTTCGGGAACTTTTTTGGCAAGGAAAAAAATTATGCTGAGAGTCTGTTATTTAAAGAAATATAAGTTAAACGAATTGGCATCTTTAGGACTAAGCGTGCTCTGTTGAACTATTAGAAGTGAGCTGTTCATAAGCAGTAGAAGAAGAATCATTCCTATTCTTACAAAGCAAGATTGGAGCAGTACTATTGGGGAGATTCTGTTTTGCTATGAACCGTAACATGTAAGCAACTCTGCAAAAAGCCATCTTGTTTACATTTATTCAGGGTGAGTCTCTTAGCTATCTGTGTGATCTTGTCTGAACCTGTCAACAGGGCATGAAGCTAGTCTGTTGCAACATAGGAAGATTTTTTTAAACCTGGGGTTTAAGACAGTTTTTGGAACATCTAGTGAGAATATAGGACCCCACATCTGGCATAGATATGTTGTCTGCTCTCTGAATGGTATAGGATACAGTATGGTAAATAATGACTTTAGGAGAATGAGCTTGGATTTTGAAATTTTGAGGCATCTATGAGTAAGAGATTAAGTTGAATAACTTAAAACAACACATGAGGCTTTTCCCAATTAGAAGATGGCAAAGTGAAGGACCTTTTCTCTTTCCTCTTTACCTCATTTTCTACTGTATATTTATCATCTTTCCTTGTAAATTTAAGGTTGTTGGAGGTTGTGACAGTTTTAGAGATGTAATTAGGAAGGTGAAATGCAAAATGAAGCCTCTCAATCAGTAGTGAGGTAAAGATGTGCTTATTTCTTCTAATTTTTTTTTTTAATTAGGGAAGGACAGAGATCATTTGGGAATGTTCATACATAGGTATTGGATTATTTATATTACCAGTGAAAAATGTAGGCCTTCCTCTCTACCAAATTTATAAAATATTACCATATGGTAATCAATGCCAGGTACAGACAGATTTGTTTATTCACCAAACTGAGTCAATACCATGAATTCACAGTGGAATCTTTTGAAAAACTTGGCTTTAAATCCTAGGATTAAATAATATGCTGCCATCACCACCACCACCCTGCCCCACTCCAAACTAGCCTTTTAATCCCATAATTGAATCACATGAATTAAATGGAATGAGGGAGTAAGGACTTGAGGGCTCAAAATGACTGATCTAAACTAGCATCTTCCAGATGCATAATATTTACTTTAAATTTGTTTATATACAGTGTAGAAAAGCTCTTGTATAAGACGTCTATGCTAGCTAGTCCATTAGTAGTAGAAGGAACATAATTCAGTGAGCTGCCTTTATATGTGTAGTGTTGGAGACCTGTTACTGGTTCATTTGTGGTTATCAGCTGAAAGTCCTATTCCTAAGATGTGCAATAGTAGTGTTGAAAGGTAGGGTTTAATAGTGATGGGGAACAGACGGATTGGACTTTTTTCCCATATTGAATTATTTAGTTTGCATGTTTGTTTGAAATTAGACCTCTCAGCAGCACTTTGGAATAGTTTTATTAGCTTAACATTTTGTACATTAAATAAGTAAATATTGATGGTTGATATAAGTAGATGTTTTAAATTTTGAAAGCACAAAGGTATTTTATCTTTTTGCATTAAAGGAGAAAAGCCATCGGTTTGTTTTCACAGATGAGATCTTTAATAATGAACTATCTCAGCACAGAGGTGCCTTGGCACCAAGGGCACTGTTAAAACTCAGTCAAAACAGCCTCCTAGGAAACCGTTTCAGCGAGTCCTCTTTCTATAAACCTATAGCTAAAGCCTCTGAGAGGTGTGAGGCCTTCAGAGGGTGATGATGATGATGATCTGCTTTCTCTTTTGAGATCAACTAATTTGGGGAAGTGTGTGTGTCCATGTCCATTTTTGTAAGTCAAAGTTTACAACCTTAGTGCAAGTGTATGCGGCAGACAGTTCTATTTGTAGACTACCTCCTTCTTGGAAAAGTCTCAGCTTCATATTCTTTTGAATATCCACAGAATTCTTGTTAGCGTCCAAAGGTAACATACCACTTAAGATCAGTTTTCACTGGAGACACTTATAATTGGTAGCTGTAGCTGGTATCCATCACTAGTCAGTGGCTGACGTGAAAGAAGAGGGAGGAGCAGGTTGAATGGGGTTTTGAGACATCGGTGATCTCTTTTGATAGCTTTTCTTCTGCTCTGGGCCCTATCCACTCAGTTGTGTGCTGGAAAATGATAGCCAGGACTTCTGAGGCGGGATGTGGAGGGGGAAGCCTGAGTTCGTTGCTGATTTCTTTGCTGTAAGTTACTCCCTCCGTGGCTGATTTCAAGCCACCACCTTGGATTGGAGAAGGGATGTATACATTGGCTCAGAGCCAGTGCCAGCAAACCACTGCATTGCTCCACCCACGGGTGGACTTTCACACAATTTCTGAGATAACTTTTTTTTATTCATATGCTGATTTTTAAAAATACAAAATTAAAACCATCATATCTGACTTCAGTAATCCTTTTGGTCTCACTTTGTTGCCCAGGCTGGTCTCCAACTCCTGGGCTCAAGTGATGCTCCCGCCTCAGCCTCTCTAGTAGCTGGGACTACAGGCTTGTGCCTCAAGCCTGGCTTAGTAATCCTTTTTTTTAATGGTTTGTCACAGTGCTTTTGTAATGTTATATTCCTCATGTCATATTTTGTTTGAACAAATGAGGAAACTTCCGTTGATTTTTTTTTTTTTAAATGTATACACAATTAAACAATCTAGATTCTGAGAATACTCTGTTAGGAAAAAAGGAATCTAAAGGCCCTCAAAAGGTCAATCTTAAGCTTCTTAGAGTTAAAATTTAAGCTTAATTTTTTCTCACATTTTGACAGTTTAAAATATAGGTATGATTTTTTTTTTCCTTCAAATTTTGATGGGGAAAGTAAGCCCACAAGCCTATATAGGGTACTGGATTTTTTATTATTTATTTTTTGAGACAGGGTCTCTCTCTGTCACTGTGGATAGAGTGTAGCGGCATCATCATAGCTCACTGCAACCTCCAATTCCTGGGCTCAAGCGATCCTTCTGCCTCGGACTCCCAAAGTGCTAGGATTACAGGCGTGAGCCACTGCACTCAGCCTGGAATTTATTTTTGAACTGGAAATTTTCTTGAAGATTTAGATACTATATTAGAGATCAGAGAAGACAAGTCTGACTGTTAAATAAATCAAAGGCTTGGAATCCTGGAGCTGTAATTCCAGTCTGTTTAACTCCAGGCTGTTGATGATATCACTTCTGTCCCATTCACACTGGGCATTGTATGCTATCTAGTCTAACCACATTGTTTCATCCTGACCTCAGAATTTGTACAATGACTCTAAATGTATAAAAGATAGCTTTTATATTTTTAGTGAATTTAAGCACAGTTAGAGGCACTCAGTGATATTTCAGAGAATCAGTGTCCAGCCTTTTTAACACACACCTTGGTCAGTAAAAGTTATTGAACACAAAAACTTTCCCTATTAAAAATTCATACATTATGAAACATAACAGAAATTTAGGATGGCATGAAAAGTAAATATTGAGTAGCAGTTCTAACATTTTCTTCCTACACCTTCCAGAAGCACACACTCTTCTTGCAGACCACTGAGTCAAGACATCACTTCTGTAATCTTGGAAAAAAAAAAAAAGTATGCTTTTCTTATGATACATGGAGAAACCCTAGAAGAGAGTTGGAATTTTTCAGGAGAGCTTGTCATGAACTTTTGAAATTTCACATTAATTCTTTTTCACCAATTGCCAAATAACCCATTACCAAATGTTTTCCAGAGCTTCGTGCGTATTATTTTTGACAGCTTGTTGTCTATTTTATCTTCATGTTAGGTATGACTCTGATTTATTTTTATTTCACTAGTCCCATATGTTAATATTTTACTAACAAATTCAGAATTTTTTCAAGTTGTTTTATGCTAAAATATATATACCAATTCCATTTTCTTGCTGCATTAATAAGGTGTTTTTTTTTTTTTTTTTTTGAGACAGTGTCTCGCTTTGTTGCCTAGGCTAGAGTGAGTGCCGTGGCGTCAGCCTAGCTCACAGCAACCTCAAACTCCTGGGCTCAAGCAATCCTTCTGCCTCAGCCTCCCAAGTAGCTGGGACTACAGGCATGTGCCACCATGCCCGGCTAATTTTTTCTATATATATTAGTTGGCCAATTAATTTCTTTCTATTTATAGTAGAGACGGGGTCTCGCTCTTGCTCAGGCTGGTTTCGAACTCCTGACCTTGAGCAATCCGCCCGCCTCGGCCTCCCAGAGAGCTAGGATTACAGGCGTGAGCCACCGCGCCCGGCCATTAATAAGGTTTTGATTTTTAAAATTTGTGACATTTTAGCGTCTAAGGAATACTTTCCTTGATAGGTCTATCCTATTTATCACTTCATTTAGAAAGTTAAGAAGACTGCTCATGAGGTAGTATGTTATCTGAGGGAATGAGAGAATGAATATATTTCTTCTGAAAGAGGATTGAGCAGTTGTTTAGTCCATAGTGGTGTAAGTGAAGTGGGAGGTCAGTCACATCTGTCTTTCTTCAGCAGATACTCTGACCAGAGACTGGATTTTAGGGAGAGTATTTTGTTAATTATCTTCTTGGTTTGGGATCAACAAATAAATGTTTTGTTACTGTTTTTTTTTTTTTTTAATGCTGCTGGCCTTGTGTGAAACAAGGTGTCCTGTTATTCCTGTTATATCATCAGAACTCTGCTTACTGAAGTTGAAGTTTTAATCTTAGAATCTAAAATTCTTGTGGGTGGTAGTGTGTTAAAGCAAGAAAAAGGTGGTGGTTTGATTTCACTTCTTGTACTTGGTGGAAGTTGTTACTATAAAAGTCATATTTTGACCTGTAAACTGAGCAAATCTGCAAGGTGAATTGATGGTAGTATAACTGTTCCATTTGAAGCTGTCAGTTTCTTCAAGCTACTTTTCTGGGGAAAAATTATGACGGATTGATAGCTTGCCAGAAAATAGCAATTTTTAGGGTGCTACCATTCACATTTAGTCATTGTGAAAGGTGGAAATAAGTCTACAGTGGTTTGTGTGAGACGGGAAATACTGGCTTTAAACAGAAACCAGGAAATTCATGCTGTTGTTAACATAATTTTAAATGAAACCTTTAACAAGAAAACTTATGAAGGACACAGTCAAACATAGTAAATATTTTGAATGCTAATCTTTTAGGTACAATACACATCAGAAGGTTTTATGAGGTTTAAAACTTTACTTTGAAATATTTAATTGGGGAGGGCTACAATATTTCTTTCCAAGACATTCTGATTTATTGGCTGAGTATATATCTGTGTGTGTGTGTGTGTGTGTGTGAGTATATATTGATGTATTGACTGACTGTGTTTGTGTAAATCTGTTTTTGAGAGGGAACATATATTATTCATCCTCTAGACTAGGATGGCTCCTAGTCTATTTTATACTAAAACTAAGGAAAAAAACCAAGTTTTTGCTGCACTTTGCAGTTGCCACTTTTTAAAGATTAATGCTTTGCACATTTCAGTAGGCCTTAAAAACTAATTGCTTGCCAACATTTTAGAAATATAGTACTCACATGTGACATACTGTAAACAAAGTCATTTTAAACTCTTCTCTTATATTCATGTATTATTGAGCAAATAAGGATGTCCTTTCTTAAAATTTCTACATTAGCTTTTGTTTAAAATCTTTATTAGGTTGTATTGTTTCTCAGAGAGGAGGTTTATACTGGAATTGGTATTTCTAAAATATAGAGATTTGTCCATGAATTGATATAATAGTGGAGGAATTCTGGCATTGCAACCTAACTTATCCTTTTAAACTGTACATAATTAGCATTAGCAGAAGTATCACAGTAGAGTATCTTGGGCTGAATGGTCTTCTCAACTTTGCCTGCTTCCCATCTCACAAAGGCCCATTCTGGTTCTTGTCCCTTCCAAGAATTATGGGCCATGCTCAGATAGGCCTGGGATCTTCTGGATGGGGTAGGGGCAGAGGTGGGGGTGCCCTGGGGCTGGACCAGAGTTCTAGCCAGTGGAATCCTTCAAGTATGCCTAGCTTTCGGGTGGGAATGCCATATCCTGGTGTTAAATCACTTGGCACTTTCTTCGGCACCCTTATTAGCACTGTTTTGTTTAAATAACTGGAAGCACTTAGTGATTATTTTGTTTGTTTAATTTCAACTTAAGGCTATTGAGGGTCAGGGAAGTCAGGTTTATTTCTCATTTGTGTTTTCTGGAACCTTAAGGGTATTTGGAGAAGGGATAAATGGATTACCTAATGAGCCATTCTTCTAGGCTCTGTAAGGTATGCTCTTTTGGCTAGGATGTTTTAAAATAATTTACAAGCTTTTAATATTGTGCTTTGTAGAAATTTGTGGTTTTTAAAAATGATTTATAGTTGATAGATTACACTTTTTGTGAAGTATTCAATTTTAAGGTGTTTTTCTGTTAAATCATTGTTGCTTATTGTCTGTTATGTGGGGGACAACAGTCCTTTCTAAGACATTTCAATTTTTTGTTTTGTGGGGGGCAGCATTACCAGTGGCCATTGTATGTGCATTCATTGCTTACATTTATCGTTTGTGCAGCAGAGTAGCATTTTCATAAACTCCCTGTTCAGTGTTAGTGAAGTTAACTAAGATGCATATATGGAAAGATAGACATGAATACAGTGAGTTCTCACTACTCAAGGCCTATGTATTTGGTTTAGCCCTGGATCTTTTCTAATCGCAGTCATACCTGTTTTTTCACTTTTGCCTTCTGGCAGTTTCA